TTTCATAAAAAATAATGAAAAAAATCTTACAGATGCTCCAAATACTACAAATACATGCGGATGGCTTCCGTCAAAATGTGTGCCTTCCAACTCCATCCTACTCGATTTCAGAGAGTTCCTTATCAATGCTAAACTCTGCTGCACACCATTTTCTGAAATTACAACATTTAATGTTATGACATAACCCCATTATTAATGCAAATTATAATTAATGCAAAACACATTATTAATGCAAAAAAATCCGTCCTTAAAATGTACTTGACTCATTTCTCCGCTTTGAGAGTCGCCTATAGGCGACATTCACAGGACTACCTGTGTGTACGAGTGTCGCCTTTAAACGACATGTAGTATGTCGACCCTTGCTTAAAGATTTATCACTGTGAGTCTATTGATAATTCTGACACAAACTATTGAGATCTTCAGAAATGTAGTTTTTCATTTTTAAATACATTTTTATTGAGAAAGAATGAAAAATCTTAAAATATGTTGTGCCGGGGTCCATTCAGTAGCGCTACTAGGCGACTCACTATTCCGTATAGCAGCGTCTCTATAAAACAATGTTACCCAATAATAATAGATTTGTTATTTCAAGTAGGTTGATTTTATTATCATTACATGCATATTAGGGAGATGATTAAACCATCAACTTTAGATGATCCAAAGAGTTATTGCAAACCAAACGTTAACAAAATTGTATATCCTTTACAATACGGCGAAATTAATATTGCATATAATAATTTGTGTTTTTGCTTAAATGCAATCAGATACGATCTAAATAACTTCCTAATATGATATCATAGATTCTTAATATGATATCGTAGATTATAATAAAAGGGATCAATGCGATAATAATTATTTTGATAATTAAGCATAAAATATTATTTTGACCAAAAAATATTATATACTTCAATGTTCAAATTATACTGCAGTATACGTGACTATATATTAATGATATAGAATTGCAAGTCATTCCTTGAACATTAATAGATTTTTTTCTTTAATTAATACATTTTATAAAAATAGTTTTCATTTCCTTAATAGATACTTTTATTTCAGTTGTTAACGATCGTGTACGTTTATTTTGATAAAATTACAATAGGAAATGAGTAATCGCTACAAAACGGCCAGAAACAATATTAAGAGTGAAATTACTATGTGAATGTTTTTAGTTATTCTTTTTGGTTACCATGTTACGAACGAAAGTAATTTATGAACGAACACAAGTAAATTTATACATATCACACACACATAATTTATATATAAATTTATAATTAAAACAATGAAAGATAACACCGAATACTCACTATGTATTTTATAAAATACAAACTAAACAAAATAAAATAACACCTAAACCATAACACTGCAACACGAGTGGCAAGAATACAATAGAGTCATTGATGCCGAGCAGACACAGTAGATGGTAGAGCAAAATAACGCAATTAGAATTGCCAATTATTGTAATTATTGACCATTATTCGCCAATGCTAACAATTTTTTACGCAACATACCTGTTTTACCGTTCATTGTCGGAATATTTAGGTTAACCTCGCACGAAATCCGGACAACCTCTATCGATTGGCTGCTCCAGCACTCTCACTAACTAACCAGCGCAACGTATCGAACTATAATGTACATATACTCTTGAACAAATGCTTTCCATTCACATTCAATAACTTTTATAATTCGTTCTAGCATACAAGGTCGTTCACCGAACGGATAAGACATACATCACGCCACAGTTGGATGCAAGACTTTTATATCAAATGTTATTAATTTATATTTATTGTTTATATTTTATATTTATGCAACAATTCATTTGATGAATAGAATGCAATTGAAATTCGAATAGCAACGTTGAATGTTATCATTTGATTGTGTCTCTCTTGTGCAAGCGCACTTTGAATTATGCCAGTTAGTAACTGTAAATAACTGTTACACGGTGCGAAAAGCCCTTTCATCACCAGCAAATCATGAATTTGACGCGATATTTAGTTACTCCAGTTTGAAATAATAATTTTTTTCAAACATTTTTTAACCGTCCCTCTCTTCCTCTTGGTTTTCCAAGAGAGAATTTAAAATTCCTCTCCTCCACCAAACATCACATGTATTTTTAGCACATACGAAAAATCTCAGGTAAAAAATAAATACACGCGATATCTTGAAAAACCTTTTCCCTTGTGATATTTTATGATTTTCAGTCAACCCCCTCCTTTGAGGCCCCAAGTAATTGATGGACGGCCCCTCATATATGCCTTATATTGAGCGAGGATCTTAGCTACAATAATTATTGGAAAATTTTACTAATTATTCGTAATAATAAATGTTATTCTTGACAAGATATTACCAACTACTTCTATTAAAAATGTATTATGGCTACCCCTATATTCATGTACAAGTTCAAATAAACATGTTTTTATAAAAAAATAATTTTCATGCAATCAGAAAAATCAATTGTCCGCTCATTGTCCTCAGATCCAAGAACATCTATAATCTAGAAAAGGCCGTCAAGTGAGAAAAGGGCTTGGTTACTTCAACTGTTATTTTCTTGTAATTGTATATATATTTTATTATACCACACGTTAAAAATCATAAACAGTCCGAACAATCTAGCTATCTTAGGATCAAAAGGGGTCATAGTATGTTTAAACCCGAACTAAAGCCTGATTAAAAAAAGTTAGTAACGAATTTTATAACTGTTACCAATTAATGATTATGTTATCGCATTAATTTCCTTTACACTGTGCAATATAAAGCGTATGTGTCGCGTGGTTGCAATAATCGCGAGAAGTCACTTATCTCATGTTTGCATAACATATCTTCTACTCACAATGGTAATGTTTGAATAATTTAGATAAACATGGTTAGAAAATTAAAGAAATTTATATCTTGAAATTGAACGAGAAATTCGCGTTATGTATTAATGCTTACAATCAAAATTATTTATTACGATTCGAATGCAGAGTACAGTGTTTTAATTATGCATTACTAATGAAATGAAGATAAGATTCAGTGATAAGAAAATATTTCAATTGCTCACAAATGAAATTATTGAAAACAATGCTGGTTTACAATGTTATGTACTTTAATTTTCATACGTCATAGTGCGATCGATCAACCGAAAAGTAGAAAAAATAAATTTGTACACTCTTTGAAAGAGGCTAATAGTTTTTTGATCAAGTCATTTGCTGATCAAAAATGATCATTATGAAACATTCAAGAGATTGCAATAATATGTATTATTAAATTTCTACCAACATTGAAAATGTTCAAAACGCTCTATACTTTAAACAAAGGAATTAACTTTTCAAATGGATTTTTTTTTTATTTTGGATATTCAAAACGTGCCTGGATTTATCGTTACGAACCGCACCATGAAAACAATTTGAACATGCTATCAATTTATATTACTTTCACTATCGGACTAAAATTGATTTTTATAATATTCAGGATTCCAAAAAGTTCAAGCATTTCATTTTTTTTTAATTTTAAATACATTGGTTTATTTTACCTTACTTCGTACTTCTAATTCTATTTTTTTCACGAAGAAAATTGACAAATTTTAAAATATTTTAATTATTTCTTTAAATTGTTCTAATAATTCTAAATGAAAACAGCAATTTTAAAATCAATGGCAATATTTTATTAAATAAACCCACAGCATCATCTTATGTCCTCCTTATAATTTATATTATAAACACAATATTTTAACTGTAATATCAAAATTATTTAGAAATCCGGAGGTTGCAACAATTTGCTTTAAAGCTATTATTATATGATGAACTTAACTTGGCACATGCCTGCCTAGATTTCCTTACTATCTGAAGTATGTAGGCATAGATAAGTATATATTGCTACCTAATTTTTGTTCTTAAAGATAACAGAGGATTACTAAGAAACGACGACATTAAATTAAATTTGCCATTTCAAATAACATTTTGTTGAAATAATTTTTTTCAAATCTATCAATTGCATAACTTTTTGGTCTATTCCTGAAAATTATAGTTGATATAATTATATTTATATTTCATTTTGAACCGGTCAACTAAATTACTCTTAATAAACTCGAATAATGTAATCTCATTTTCTAGTTTGATAGATGGATTTTTCTAAATTTCATAGAATACTTTTGCTTCTAATATTAAATTAATATGTAGCGATTTGTTATAATAACTGGGTGCCACAAGTAATCTAATTCGCATCATTCAGTACTTGTATCAGGCTTCCATTTTTCCATATTGCTTTTCTATGTGCCGACTCTTACCATTGGCGGATCTAGCTTTGGCGCTAGGAGGGAGTCACATAATTAAATTATGTATAGAACATATATTCGCAATACGGTTAAAAAATCTTTAAATTTTAGGAGCCTTTGACTCCGCCGTTTGTCTATAATAAGTTACATATTGAATTTATAGAATGTGTTTGGTAACAAAATACATAAATAAAATCATTATGAAAAATTTTTATTGCTGAATTTGTGTTCTATGTAAGTCTTAAGTCAAACTCAGGGGGGGGGGGTCATGACCTCTCCCTGGATCCGCCACTGACTCTTACAATAATAAATTAGAAGTGTGCCAGAGAAACCTACTTTGCTATTTTCCATAGTCATTTATTAGCCAGGAGTCTCCGGATGTAACCAAAATTAAGGATATGCAGAACAGCGCAGTGAGAGCGATTGAAGGTCTCTCGAAAGCCTTGCAGGCCTATGTTCGAGAAATATAAAATTTTAACCAACACAAACATTCATATGTGACAACAACCGATTGTGGTGCATGCGGACAAATCAAATCAAATTGAACAGCGATAATCGTAGACCAAACAAAAATTCTTTTGGTTTTTTTCGCGAAATAAGCTGATTCTTGAAATTCGTATTACTTATTTGACATCTTTTTGAAACCTTTGAAACTTCGTTGTAAACAAAATGTTAACGATATATAGAAAATATATTTATTTATTTATTCATAAGCAAGCCGTAATCAATAATAATAGATATTATTTCAGGCTCTTGTCAAGCTTATTCATAGTAATATTAAAAGGATAGTAATTTTATAATAATCATAGTAGCTGCACGAATTTCGCTTCTGAAAAAAAAAGAGCTGAAAAAAAGCATTGGAACATTAAATACAATGTTCATCATAAAGTTCAGCATATTAAAGTCTATTTGACCACCAGTCAAGCTCAAAATTCTTGCACAAGGTTGAAAGTTAGAATCATTTAAAACCGTAAAAAATTTAAATTAATAAAATAGCAATAAAAGAAATATGGTTGTACAGGCGATCAAATGGTCAGACTACATAGATAAAGGATAAGGATTATGCAAGAAAATAGTTATTGAAATCAAATTGAGAAAATTCAGTAATGTCATAAAAAGCTAATTCTTTAAAAAGTTTAACTAGGGAAGCATGAAATTTTTTGCTGTCTAAGTTTCACATATTGAGTGGAAGTTTATTCATAAGCTGAATACCTAAACCGTCGATCGTATTGAAAGAGCTGGGCTAATTTATATGTGAGCGCCTTAATAAGTTTGTGTCTAGTGTTGTAGTTTGAGGAGGACGAAGCCATATCAAAAAGTTTCGAATTGTTTTTGATGAAACTTAATGTTACCAGCAGAAAAATGCATGGGACAGTTAGAATATTGTATTTTTTAAATATGGGTCTGCAGGAGGCTTTACTGGGCAAGGAAAAAATTATTCGAATAGCTCTTTTCTGAAGCCTAAATATTTTAATTAGTTCGGATGAAAAACCCCAGAATTGGATGTCGTATGAAACGTGAGAATAAAAGTTGCTATAATAAACTGAAAGTAAGCAATTTAAACCAAGTCTGGGTTTTAGGGTGCGCAACATGAAACATGTTCTAGATAAAGTTGGTGATAGTGAGATAGAGATATGATCAGATCATTTTAAATGATTATTAATATGGATACCAAGAAACTTTGATACTTGCGAAAAATTATATGCTGAATTATTGATGGTTAAAGAAGTAATATATTGGATAAACGATTTTTTGTACAAAAAGATATGATTTGGGTCTTATCATTATTGAGGACTAGATTATTTTCACAAAACCATTTCGCTATTTGTGACATAACCACGCTTAATTTATGTTGTAATTCATCAAGAGATTTGGCCTTGATGAAAACGCTGGTATCATCCGCAAAAAGAATAAAATCACAAAGTGTACAATAAGGTAAATCATTTATATATATGAGAAATAAGAGAGGCCCTAAAATTGATACTTGGGGCACACCCAATGTACTTGACAATTTATCCGAAATTATTTGCTCGTGATCGTTATTTAAGTAAACGCTTTGTGTTCGATTAGACAGGTAAGATTCAAATCGTTTGAGCGAACGTCCGCGAATACCATAATTTTCTAATTTGTCAAGAAGTCTTTGATGAGAAATACTATCAAAAGCTTTAGACAGATCGCAAAATATTGCAGTACAATATGTGGCTTCTTCGAAGGAGTCAATGATGTTATGAACTAAATTATAAATCGAGTGGGAAGTAGAATGGTTCTTTCGGAAACCGTGCTGATTCTTGAACAAAATATTATATTTATTGAGAAAAGACGTTAATCTAGTATGCAAGATTTTTGTATTGTATATATAATGCTATAAAAAATTTCAGGTTATAACATTACAACAGTTACAAAGCTTTTTGCCCGGCGGCTTGAATCAATTAGAGGCATCCCAAGTCCAAGCTCAAGCACAAACTACACCAGTGAAATCATTTATGACACCTCAGGGGCAACAAGTACTGCAGGTCCAATCGATGTCACCACAATTCATGCAGGTACATCTAATACTCTCGAATCATTAAGCATAAACTTTATATAATTTTAGTTTCAATATCTACCTCTACCTCAAATGATCATCTAGTTATTTTTTTAACGTTATTAGGGTGGCCAAATATTATCTTCAGGAGCTCCTAATCTAGCTTATAGTGTAATGCAGCCGATACAAACTGTCACAGTAGACGGCCAAGAAGCAATTTATATTCCCGTCTCAATGGCCAATGCAGCTCAGGTAATTTGTGAAATGAAATTAAATCGCACGTAAAAAATGCATATGTTGTTGGTTTAAAATCCATCAAGTCATACGAACAGGTTGCTTCTACTCGAAGAATCATATATAAATGTAGCGCACTGGTATTATTGCTGATATTATGTACTTGTAATTTTTTTTTTCGTTCTGCTGTACTTGATTAACATTTACAATTCACCGAAGTTGAAATGGTTCAATTTTGATATTTCAAATTTTGTATTTATCTGAAATAAATAACCAAATATGAAATACGTATACAATCTTTCAGACGATACAAATAGGCGGTCAGCAAGCATTATTGACACCGGCGGGCCAAATAATTAGAACACCGCAAGGCACTGTGCTACCTGCGAATTTGCTACAAGGAATGACTGCCCAGACCGTCCAATTACCGAATGGTAAATAAACTATTTTGATTCTTTAGTTTTGATTACGAAAAACTCTTTCATGTCGTTTATAAAACTCAAATGGTAATCGGTTTATTAGATTGTCTGGTTTTGGTTGAACTATTATTTCTATCGCTTCTATTGATTCTAGCCATGTAATGTGTTTGATATTCGTTGGTTGTTCACATTTAAAAAATTCACATTTAGTTCAATTCAAATTTAAACAGTAATATTCTAATATGAGCTTAGAGTTGGGGTGTGACAAGTAGATAATATTTTCATCAATCAAAAAATGAATTTCAGAAACTGATGTTGGTACATGGTGATACCCCAGCTAATATTTTCCTTAATATTATTTATTGTATTTCTACTCTAATCAAACTTTCTGATGTATTTGTTATCTTTATGACCGCGCAATGTATTCTGAAAATTCTTACTCGCGGGATTGTCATTTGGTTATAGCAATTACTGTTTGTAATTTTATTGATTAAGGCGTACTTAAGATTCTGATTCTATTATATTGAATATAATCAAATACATGACTTGAGAGCCATCTTAGACCAGAGTGATTTTCTTCCCTAACATAACTTTAGGAGTACCGTATCATTTAAAAGAGAAAAAAAAATTAGATTAAAAATCCACGGCAAATCGATTAGAAGTCCACGACAAATACATCAGGAAGCAAAAAGTGTGCAAATACCGCTGCACCCTTTACTAACACCAACTAACACATGCGGTCATTCTGTATTTTGTGCATTTCTCTTCCTTTAAGCTGCTTCTAACCCTGCAATCATAACAATACCCGGCACCAACATTCAGATTCCGCTAAGCGGGTCTCAAGGAATAGCTTTCCCAGGAGGTAATATTACGATACCAGGTTTGAACACATCAACTAACTCCGGACAACAGCAGCAACAGAATAATACTTCAGGAGGAGGAACTACAATAACTATACCTGGGACAAATATTCAAATCCAGAGTCCTGTACAACAAAATTCGCAACAGAGTAACAATAGTAGTACTGCCAATAAAGACACTGCCAAATTAGAAAGCTCAGGTAAAAAGAAGAGAAGAACAACCCCTTATTGCTTTTTGCTTTCCACAGCTTATCTCACATTGCTTCTTGGGACTGGTTATGTGGGCTTATTAATTTGGTTTGGAATAAGAATCACCCAATATGTATCAAACTAATTTTCTTAAAATATATTATAGGACAAAATTTTGAAACTTGTTCTTGAAAAATTATCATGAATGTACGCCAAAATCGTATTAATAATTTTTAAATGCCTAACAAAATTTGAGAGTTGTGCTTTTTGTTACAAGATTTTCAATTAAATATTCAATATATCATATAACTTAACGTAACGTAACTTTGACTTCAATTACAATAAAAAATATGGGAGCGGAATTCTTGATCAAATATTTTATCACAAAAAAAATACATAATGCAATAATGATGATAATTTTGAATATTAAATCATTTTCATTATTAAAAACAATAGTTTACTCTTCTATATTTAAATTGGCCGATTAGACCCGCAACACAAAATGAAAAAAATGCTTTATCTAATAATTGTGTAATTGACAATAATTATGTTGCATTAGCTGTTGTAGATTAGACCAGTTCGAATAAAACCGCCGCGTTAACTTTTTTGTTTGATTGATATTTTTTTATAGTCACGACAAGAAAAGTGTTGAGAAATTGGAACAAATATGCTCATTTTGATGTCTCAGTGTCGATAATTCATATTACATGCTTTCAAACAAAAGAAAATCCTTTAAAATGGCTTATATTTTATTAAAATAGTATGATAGAATCGATTCCATCACCGTAACGACACGTGCATTGAACATACTAAAATGTATGAAATATAAACTATTTTAAGGTTTTAGTAGTTGGCATATATCGGCCCCTGACATAATATTGATGTTGCTTTTGTTTATTCTTGATGTTTTTGCCTAGAATAGATTTCGCGCTTTCATTTTTTATCAGCACCAGTATTGATTGAAGAACAATTTACTCCTCAGGCCAAAATGTTTCGGTACGATCTCCTATGCCTCAAGTAGTGCAGTTCGCTAATGCGATGGCTGCCCAAACAATACCGGTACAAGTTCCTGTGAGCACGCCTAACGGGCAAACAGTTTTGCAGACCGTCCATTTCCCATTGCAAGCGTTTGCTGGAATTCCTGGTCTAGTGCAACCGCAGATGCAAATAATACCGCAGTTAGCAGCACAGGTTTGTCAAAATTTTATATAATAACATTGGAAGTTTCTTCTATCAATGCTTTGTCAACTAACTAGTTGGTTTGGTATTTAGCCTTGAGGCAAGTTACATGAACTTCCCGAAATGTGTAAATAATCGACTTAATCAAAAAAAATGTGTAAATAATATACTTCATTAATCCTACTTTAAAAAAACGATAATAATTTTAGCAAACTTTGACGAATTTTTAAAATTAAACTACTTGTCGTTAGGCCGTAATATTACAGTAAGTTCTATAAGACCATGATGTATATCGCCAAAAAAAATTCCATGAAAATCGGCTTAAATTTTTTTTTCAACAGTTAATTACAAGAAAACGGCTCGGTAGATTTTCACCTAAAATTAATCAGTACCATTCCCAACTAATATCTTCCGAACAGTTTTCGATATTTTAAAATCGGTTCGGTAGGATGAGCTTAAATGTCGACGAAAATTTAACACTTTTTTTCAACAGTTAATTACAAGAAAACGGCTCGATAGATTTTCACCTAAAATTAATCAGTATCATTCCCAACTAATATCTTTCGAACAGTTTTTGATATTTTTAAATCGGTTCGGTAGGGTGAGCTTAAATGTCGACGAAAATTTAACACTTTTTTTCAACAGTTAATTACAAGAAAACGGCTCGGTAGATTTTCACCTAAAATTAATCAGTATCATTCCCAACTAATATCTTTCGAACAGTTTTTGATTTTTTAAAATCGTTCGGTAGGATTGAGCTTAAATGTGGACGAAAAGTTTTTTTCAAATTACAAAGAAACGGCTTGGCAGATCGTTGCACAAAACTGACAAACGATAGTCCTCACAGAAATACATCAAATGGCTTTTAAATTTCTAAAATCGGTTCAGGCGTTTTTGAGAAAACGTCGATCAAAAGTCTAATTTTGACAAATGCCAAAAAGACCATACTGATTTTTGCAAACTTTGACGAATTTTTAAAGCTGAACCAGTTGTCGTAGGGCCGTAGTATTTTAGTATGATCTAGAAGACTATGGTATCTACCGTCAAAAAATAATCATGAAAATCGTCGAAATTTTTTTTTTTAAACTTTATTACAAGAAAACGGCCCGGCCGATCTCTACCAAAAACTAATCAGCACGATTCCCAATCAATATCTTTCGAACGGTTTTTGAATTTTCTTAATCGGTTCAGAATTGCGGGCTAAAACGTGCACGAAAAATTTTTCACTTTTCTGCTATTTATAAAGAAACGTCTCGGCCGATCGTCCCACAAAACTGACAAACGATAGTCCTCGTCGAGATGCATCGAATGGCTTTTAAATTTTTGGAATCGGCCCAGCCGTTTTCGAGAAAACGTCGATTTACGGCAAAAAATCTGTTCACACACACATACACACACACACACACACACACACACACACACACACACACATACTTTTTCCAAATTTGGTCTCATTCGATTCAGAATGGCTTGAAACGTCGAGAAAACATAAAATTAGAGAATCGGATTTTTTTATGAAAACATAAACTTCTCCTTCGGGAAGTTAATGAAGCTTATTTAGATTTTCTACTTAAATTTGCATCAGTTTATTTGATACATTTATAAATTTAGATAATCTTAATAAGTTTGTACATATATAAATAGTTCTTTGTAAATATAAATTGTTTTAAATAATTTTTGTTTCCAATAGTCACAAGTGGCAAATGTCATTAATTCAAATGGACAAATACAACAAATACAACTAACGTCTTTGGCTGGCTTGCAAGCTGCACAAGTTCAAGCACAGGCTCAAGCTCAAGCTCAGGCTCAGGCTCAGGCACAGGCACAGGCACAGGCCCAAGCACAGGCTCAAGCACAGGCTCAAGCTCAAGCTAATCAATCTCAACAAAGTGTTCTGTCCCAAATTGCCACGGCGAATAATAACGCGGCTAACACATCCACATCGTGGAATAGCACCGCCCCGACTTCATCAACGCAGGTAATTGAATAAATTTAATCATAGGTAATATGATTTATGCTATTCCATAAAAGCATAATATTATAAATCACTCAGTTACTCAGTAATTTTTTTTAGATTATAAAAAGTATTAGGTTTCCGTGTGTTAATCAACATAAAAATTTTACAGACTGTCTCAGCTCCTAGTTCTCTGAACACTTCAATCACTACAGATTCACAGACAGCAAATTTATTACAAAACCAAAGTCAACCAATCACTATAACTGGGCCCAATGGTCAGCAATTAACTGTTGTCCCAGGAAATGGTATAAATATTGGGCAATTGAGATCTGGAGCAAATATTATACAGGTATGTTCTTTGAATCAATATTAAGAAATGATTCCTTTAAAGACAAACTTGTCAACGAAGAATTATAAGTTTAAGAATTTGCTATTTTTTTTTATCACCTTTTACCTTATGACCTTATTTATGCTTATGACTTATTAAATTTTATACAGGTGCCCAATTTATCCGCTCTGCAATCAATACCAGTGCAAAACATTCCCGGAATTGGTAATGTACAAGTCATACCAGCAAACGCCTTAAGTCTGGGTGCTCAATCTCAATTAGGTTTAGCATCATTACAAGGGCAACAGAACACACATTCCATTGCACACGAAACAAAACCGCAAATAATAAGTGGGTATATATTAAAAAAAAAAAAAAAAAGAATATACATAGAACCAAAATAACACAATTATTTTAAAATTTTTGTAAATTGTTCAGATGTCATTGTTTGATGGATTCCAAATATTTCCAAATAATTTCAATTTTTAGTTAATGACTACAGCATAAATGATTGACATGAAAACAAACACATTGTTTTGACTTTAGATTTTTTTTGTTTGCAATGTTTAAAATTTTGGATTTGAATATGGAAAATTAAAAAATTATTTTTCTTCAACTGAATTAGACAAGCATTTGAAAACCTGCTTTGGAATAAGAAAATAACTGTGAAAAGATTATGTAGGAATATTTATGACAATTAGAACTTATTTTAAATTTATATTTAATTTATTAATTATGAATTACAGCTGGACAACAAATACAACAAGATCCTAATGACCCAACAAAATGGCAAATAGTCACAACGGCCAGTAATTCACCACCTATTTCAAACTCAGGAAATATGAACTCGCCATCACAAAATATTGGAGCTACTGATGACCCTGATAATCCCACTCCTAAACCAAGGTTACGAAGGGTTGCTTGTACCTGTCCTAATTGCAGAGATGGGGAACGGTAAGTCACTAACAAGCATTGTACTGAAGTAGTATTTCATAAGTAAGTTCATTAACCCCACTATCAGACCTCAGATATGTTAACTTATCACAATTCTTTGACTTTACAATGGGTAAGAAACACAATTATAACCACTAGTCATTGCACACAAGGACACAACATGTCTTGCCTTATGTTTTATATTATAATCAAAAAGAATCTAAGCAGGTTATTATTGTGCAGTTATAATAGAAGAAATTTTATTATATATGATCTTTCTATATGTTTATAGCCTTCATAGAACTAACATAAAATATTTGCCTTTCACAGCTATAGTTTACAAATTATGTTTAATTTAATCAAAAGAAAATGTAGGATTGGAGTTCACTATTTTCAATCTCAAGTTACTAGATTACCATGGAATTATAAATAATTCAGGGAAGAATGTAACACAAAAAACTTTCTTAAATTGACATTGCCAGTTAACATAATCAACTGCACAAATGCAAAATAGAGTCTTATGTAGAGCCATACTTTGCATTTGTGTATAGTATAGTAGTCATATCATGTTAAGACACTTTCTCTATTGCGCGTTTCACTTCACTTTTCCATTATGGACTTCCACATTACAAGAGCTATACATATTCATAATCATGTTTAAAATTCAATGCTTAATAAACCTCGAACAAAAGCAGCCATACAAATGCAGAATCATGTAAATGTAGAATCATAATTCTAGTCTTACATTGCACTCATGTAGCCGATCATGACACGGAAACCTCATTTGTTACTTTTAGTCTTGCCTTGTCAAATAGCTAAACTGTTTTTTAGCTAACCTTTCAAATAATTAATCTCTTTATCGTACACATTTAAATTTCCGTAGAAAAATAATAATTGTTATAGCGATTTATAGCTAATCCTAATAATACATTATTGAACAAAAAACGGTACACACATACACACACGCAACCTTTTTCAAATATGTTCTTTTTCGATTCAGAATGTCTTGAAAAGGCGAGAAAACATAAAATTAGCAAATCGGATTTTTTCGCGAAAATAAACTTCTCCCTTAGGAAGTTAATAACGGAAAGGGTATAAAACTATAATTTTGATTTTTTTCCTATAGCGTATTCAGCTTTTGAATTAGCTTATAAAATTATCAGCATATATTATTTTCAAAGAATCTTTCACGTTTCTTCAATAATGATAGATACGTATTTGCAAAAAATGTTATATTTCAAAAATGTAAAATATTCCAAATTGTTTGAAATTATTTCAAAATTGAAAACAATTTATATGTAGACTTTCCAGAATTTATTCATATTTAAGATTATTCACATGAAATTTGTCCACAATGTGGAAATTAAAGCAGCTTTGAATGTTTATCAATTTTAATTAAGAAGAAAATATATTACACAGATTGTTTAACTTAATTTTGGGGAAAAAGTAAATAGATATCTATCGATCTTAACATGATGCCCATATGAATGCAAAATAAGGTCTTATTCGCTAGCCTTACTTTGCATCTACATGGGTACTATGACAAGTAGTATTACAAAATTGAAAAATATCAATGGAGTGGTGAAATAAGCTTAACTTAACGCCCACATGTATGCAAAATAAGGTCTTCAATTATAGCCATACTTTGCATTCAGGCAGGTGTTACGATAACTGACATCAAAATGGCACTTGAGTTATTAAATCATATTCGCGAAGTTCTGCTACACTGACCATACAAATATTAAACTAAATCTGAATTGCATTTGGAACAATTTACATAGATAACGATTATCTTTTTTTAATTAATGTATTTCACGAAGAAAGCAAGGCATTGCAACTATTGTAAACATTTCTCTGCATAACATTGATATAAATCTGAAGTGGAATATTATTTTAGTATTCCTTTTGCATTTATAAAGCTATCATGATAAAGAATATAAGTTTGAAATATTTAAATTTATAAATAAAATTAATATATAAAAAAAATAAAATGTATACCATGACACCATGTTACGTCAGTCAGTCCCCACATTTAATTACCCATAGAAGATTTGAAAATATGATTTCTATTTCCAGGCATACTGATAGAAAACGACAACATATATGCCACATACAAGGCTGTAATAAAATATATGGCAAAACTTCACATCTTAGGGCTCATCTGCGCTGGCATACAGGAGAACGACCTTTTGTTTGCTCTTGGCTTTTATGTGGTAGAAGGTGATATTTATTTTTCATACGTCTATTTTATTTTATAGTGAAAAATTACTTGACAAGTTTCTTATTCAGATTTACAAGGTCTGATGAACTACAAAGGCACAGAAGGACTCACACAGGTGAAAAACGATTCCAATGTCCTGAATGCAATAAAAAGTTCATGAGGTCTGATCATTTATCAAAACACATCAAGACTCATCAGAAGCAAAGAATAACTGTAAGTATGATGACTTTATTTGTTAATAAATATTAAGTAATTTCACAAAATTTTCTTGTGGCAGATAAAAGTAAGTGAAAAGGTGTAAAAGCCTAATGCAAAACAATTTTAAATCGTTTTATAATATTATTTCCAAGAAGTTTAAGAAAAACGTTCATGGTTTTGAGATAATATGTATGTTACACAGAGATGGCTTAATACTCATCGAATAAATAATCTATTGAAGCATAAATATGTTCATCGCAACACCCTAAATGTGCAAGTGTATATACATATACATGCATAAAGTCATGAAATCAAAAATTAAATAAAGTGTTCTTCTTTAATAAAGCTTGATATAATGGAAGAAGCTACCGAAGTCGAATTGAAAGGTTCCCAGTCAACAGAATCTCAAATATTATCGAAGAAAGAAATGTGGATGTCTGATTATAATCCACAACAGCAACATTTTACATTTAAACAAGTAGAAATAGTTCAGGTCAGCTTTGGTTTTATGTTTTGATTTTTTTTACATTAAATTATTATTTATTTAGTAAAGTAAATCAGGGATTTGCATGCTTCATTTAGGTACATTTATAAAGAATTATGCAGTATCATTTTTTTATAGTTCATTTCAATTAATTTATTTGGAGTAGATAAATTAATAATATTTTCTAAGTCCCACAGATCTTGAGAGCATTATAAAAAGAAATAAAAAATACAAAAAGGATTTTTCACAAAAAATGATTCAAACTGAAATTTTAATTGCAGGAAGCGGCTACTTGCACACAATCCATTACATCTGAAAGTGCTGATAGTTCAGATGAAAAGATGGTTCTATTACAAAATGAGGCCGATGAACCTGAAATAATAATTGGGACACAGTAGCCCAGGGCCATATTAGAAAATAATATTGTAGATAGCAGTTTTGAATTAAATGGACCCAATTTCATAATAGAATATGTAAAAATCGAAGATGAAATATTTGGGGTCAACTAAATTGTAAATAAAAATTTTTAGATTATGATGAATTGTATATAATTTTACCATAACTAGTATAGAATTAAAAATTAATTTATGACATAATTTATAAGTTTTACTTGAATTATTAAAAGCAAATAATGAGTTTTATATGTATAGTAACCTGGAATATATATTTTATACTATTTTAATAGACCTATGTGACTTGTTGATAATAAAAATTGTGAATAATAATGAAGAGAAATTGTACATAATAAAGAGAAATTGTAAATAATGATAATCAGACTATGTATTATTTTATATTATTTATATTTTCAGAGTTCAATGTCAGACTTATAGAAAGTCCTAATAATAAAATCACTCATTAGAAAAGCAATTTTCATAGGCAAAACAAAAATATTTACATTCATAGTTAAGATACTTACAGCCTAAATTTATCAGAATTCAAATCTATTATACCACACAGTATAAGAAGTTGATCACCAAAAGATCACAGATAATGTAAAAAAAAGCACAGTAAAATTCTTTACCAAATAGCCTGAATACAGAAATTGACATTTAAACTAATTGAGGGTAGTAATTAATTGAAAAAAAATAAAAAAGTTAAATAATATAAATACTTTCACTTGAGAAATTCATTAACCTTGATAATCATAAATACCAAGCAATTATAAAAAGAAGTTTAGAACTATACTCTGCATTATACTTCTCATTTATCGAAGACATTCATTCTACAGTCATACAGACCACAATGAGTTATCCAAGTACAATTTATAGCAAAAATGAAAAAGCAATGTAGATATGATAGATAGATTTATGTATAATAAATTCCAAAGGCGGAATGATAAAGTAGTTCTTTTGTTAACAGTAGGCATAAAAACTGTTAGTTGTTAAAATTATCTTGCATGCAATATGCAAATGTTTTTAAATAATATATTGCATTTCGGGTTATGACCAAAATAAATAATTATCATAAAGCACAAGCAATATATGAATAAAATGTTGGTTTTTAAGAGGAACTTTTAAAATTTATCAGAAACATCCTCTAACTACCATCCACTTTCTAGATGTTAGAATTTTCTTTCAGATTTATGTATAATAAATTCCAAAGGCGGAATGATAATGTAGTTCTTTTGTTAACAGTAGGCATAAAAAATGTTAGTTGTTAAAATTATCTTGCATGCAATATGCAAATGTTTTTAAATAATATATTGCATTTCGGGTTATGACCAAAATAAATAATTATCATAAAGCACAAGCAATATATGAATAAAATGTTGGTTTTTAAGAGGAACTTTTAAAATTTATCAGAAACATCCTCTAACTACCATCCACTTTCTAGATGTTAGAATTTTCTTTCAGATTTATGTATAATAAATTCCAAAGGCGGAATGATAATGTAGTTCTTTGTTAACAGTAGGCATAAAAAATGTTAGTTGTTAAAATTATCTTGCATGCAATATGCAAATGTTTTTAAATAATATATTGCATTTTGAGTTATGACCAAAATAAATAATTATCATAATGCAAGCAAAATATGAATAAAATGTTGTTTTTTAAGTGGAACTTTTACAACTTATCAGAAACATCCTCTAACTGCCATCCAATTTCTAGATGTAAACTAAAATTCACTTCCAAGCCATTTGCATAAAAATATACAATATTCCTATAATGAACATCATGACCACTTCAGTAAATCAAAAACAAGGATTACAGCACAAATTTCAAGATTTTGGTTTAATGTAAGGAACAGTTACAGCCATGCGCGCTCTATAAAAGGTAGAAGTTCTGGCAGCAATACATAGATTTTTGTTTTCAACGAAAATTATGTTAACTTCAATTTACCAATGAAGTGAAACGATATAATTACTTTCAAATATAGGAATTCCTGGTTTAAAAAAAATATCCACTATAAATGTGCAAAACCTAAATCAAAATTAGTCTACCTCACAACAAAAACATATATAGTGTGCACAGATATACTGTGCACAAATATAAAAAAAATCAACCTATTGAATCTGAATCACTTTTACCAGCCTTTGACTCTCCTAATTAGTAAGCAGATATTTTCATGTAGTAGGTGTATGTAGTGGGTGTATTCTATGTGATCGTAAAACTAAATGCACTTCTTATAGAAAATTCATTCTGGTATAAAAACATGATCTATATAGTATTCTGCACTAAGAGTAATCTGCAGTAGATAATTGTTCAGATACTACTGCATCTAGCAATCATTTTATTTTTTTATGTGCCATGAACAAACTAAATCAAACAACAAACCAAAAATCAAAAAAATATGCTAACAAATATAGAAAATTTTATAACGACATGGACCAAGCATCATTTCAATTAAACACCAACAACAAAAACAAACTTTAAAAATCATTTCAAATAAGTAGTTAGAAATCATGAATTCATAACACACACAGAAATAAAGTTGTGCAAAAAATAATGTTCTCCATCACAATGTTATAAGAAGTGAAACGCAGAAACAAAATAATTATTATGATATTATTTGAATATAATAGAAAGTTTTGGTTATTAAATAAGACAAAAAGTAAACTATTAAATGTTATCATGCATATGGATTGAATGTTGTAATTAATAGAGTAATAATAGAAATTATTCTGCCAAACCAGCATAAAAGTTTTTCATGCATAAATCACATATGCCCGCAGATGTAATTTATTACACTAGTTGAAGTAAAGATTACTTTTCAAAATTGATTTTAGCATATTCAAATTAAACATTATTGCTACACCTTCTTCATACAAACAGTATATTTGTAACAAAAATTATTTTCAAATAAATCTTTCAAGTATTTTTTTTACTGCACATTTATAATTTGATGAGCAATAAAAAAAAACTTTTCTATAGTATCATTGAATAGTGAGTATGTGGTTACATAAATGGGCTATGTGATGAAAAAAAATTACAATGTTATGAATGCCACACACAAACATGAGTCCAGCACTTCAAAACCATATCAAATGTATAACAAAAAAAAAATTCACACTTACATATCAAATGACATTCACAATTCAGTAACAGGAGACAGCAAAAGGTCGAGCACGTGTATTGTATCACTGTAATATAAATGGGATTGGATGAGAATCAGAATTAGGCATCAAGTAAAACATTTTATTTTGAAAGCAGTTACCTCTATATTAAAAAACCCGCTCGTTAGGAAACACTATGATCTCCAACACACATTTTGTCAAGAATGACTAAACTAAGCGTTTAAATAATATCATTTTTAAACCTGAAAAAAATGACGAACATTAGAACTCAAATTATTGCACACAAGATGTGCCTAAAACTATCGTACAAATACTACTCACCCGCACATTGTCATAAAACCACAAACAAAATAAAAACTTTAATTTAACATTAAGTTACCGAAAACGTATTAGTTATTATTATTAGTTATTATGTATTTAATATTATTCAGCCACTTTGCAGGTTAAAATAATAAAGGTTATGTTGCGAAAACGAAAAGAACGTTTAATAGTTTGATTATGCTTAGTTGTCGAACTTTACCAATTTCAAGATTAGGGTTATGTTATTGCGCAAAAACAGAAAATATTGTAGAATTTATAAAATTATAAACACCGAACTTAATAAGCTCTATAACACGTGAGAATTAAAAACGACTATATCTGATAGAGATACTAACACAATGAAATGAACATGCCGATTGCCGCTTAATGCCGCTCGGCAAACCACTGTTAAGATAGTAGCATTAGCATTAAACATGTTTCTGAACAATGAGCCAATGAGCGGCGCACTATTTCAAACGTTGCTCTAATGAGAAATGTTGTAACAAATTCCTGGTTTCTAGTAGAAACAATTAGTTTCTAGATGCATATATGTTCTGCTCAGTATAAAACGTAATTTAAATTTAGGACCATTTCAAATATTTCTGTAATAAGAATTTTTGTAGCCATTTCCTGGTTCAAAAACTATCAGTTTCTAGGAACATATGTTTTGATTAGTATAAAATGTTATTTTGAAATTTAGGACCATGCCAATTGTTCCTCTAATAAGAATTTCTGTGACTAATTCCTGGTTCAGAAACAGTTTCAAGTTACATATGTGTGGTTTAGTAGATATGCTATTTTAAAATTTAGGACCATTTCAAATAATTCTCTAATAAGATTTTGTGCCATTCCCTGGATTAAAAACTATCAGTTTCTAAGTACATATGTTTGATTAGTGTAAATGTTATTTTAAAATTTTAGGATCATGCTAATTGTTCCTCTAATAAGAATTTCCTGTGACCAATTCCTGGTTCAAAGAAACAGTTTCAAGGTACATATACGTGGTTAGTAGAAATGTTATTTTAAAATTTAGGTCCATTTTCAAATATTTTCTAATAAGAATTTTGTAGCCATTTCCTGGTTCAAAAACTATCATTTCTAGGAACATATGTTTTGATTAGTATAAAATGTTATTTGAAAATTTAGGACCATGTCAATTGTTCCTCTAATAAGAATTCTGTGACCAATCCTGGTTCAGAAACAGTTTCAAGTACATAGCGTGGGGTTTAGTAGAAATGTTATTTTAAAATTTAGGTCCATTTCAAATATTTTTCTGATAAGAATCTTTTGTAGCCATTTCCTGGATTAAAAAACTATCAGTTTCTAGGTTACTTATGTTCTGATTAGTGTAAAATGTTATTTAAAATTTAGGACCATGCGAATTTTCCTCTAAATAAGAATTCCTGTGACCAATTCCTGGTTCAGAAACAAGTTTCAAGTTACATATGCGTGGTTTAGTAGAAATGTTATTTAAAATTTAGGTCCATTTCAAATATTTTCTAATAAGAATTTTTGTAGCCATTTCCTGGTTCAAAAACTATCAGTTTCTAGGTACTGTGTTTTGATTAGTATAAAATGTTATTTTAAAATTTAGGACCATGCCAATTGTTCCTCTAATAAGAATTTCTGTGACCAATTCCTGGTTCAGAAACAGTTTCAAGTTACATATGCGTGGTTTAGTAGAAATGTTATTTTAAAATTTAGGTCCATTTCAAATATTTTTCTAATAAGAATTTTGTAGCCATTTCCTGGTTTAAAAACTATCAGTTTCTAGGTACTTATGTTCTGATTAGTTAAAATGTTATTTTAAAATTTAGGACCATGCGAATTGTTCCTCTAATAAGAATTCCTGTGACCAATTCCTGGTTCAGAAACAGTTTCAAGTTACATATGCGTGGTTTAGTAGAAATGTTATTTTAAAATTTAGGTCCATTTCAAATATTTTTCTAATAAGAATTTTGTAGCATTTCCTGGTTCAAAAACTATCAGTTTCTAGGAACATGTGTTCTGATTAGTGTAAAATGTTATTTTAAAATTTAGGACCATGCCAATTGTTCCTCTAATAAGAATTTCTGTGACCAATTCCTGGTTCAGAAACAGTTTCAAGTTACATATGCGTGGTTTAGTAGAAATGTTATTTTAAAATTTAGGTCCATTTCAAATATTTTTCTAATAAGAATCTTTTGTAGCCATTCCTGGTTTAAAAACTATCAGTTTCTAGGTACTTATGTTCTGATTAGTGTAAAAATGTTATTTTAAAATTTAGGACCATGCGAATTGTTCCTCTAATAAGAATTCCTGTGACCAATTCCTGGTTCAGAAACAGTTTCAAGTTACATATACGTGGTTTAGTAGAAATTTATTTTAAAATTTAGGACCATTTCAAATATTTTTCTAATAAGAATTTTTGTATTCATTTCCTGGATTAAAAACTATCAGTTTCTAGGTACTTATGTTCTGATTAGTGTAAAATGTTATTTAAAAATTTAGGACCATGCGAATTGTTCCTCTAATAAGAATTCCTGTGACCAATTCCTGGTTCAGAAAACAGTTTCAAGGTACATATACGTGGTTTAGTAGAAATGTTATTTTAAAATTTAGGACCATTTCAAATATTTTTCTAATAAGAATTTGTATTCATTTCCTAGATTAAAAACTATCAGGTTTAGATACATATATGTTCTGATTAGTGTAAAAGTTATTTTAAAATTTAGGACCATGCTAATTGTTTCTCTAATAAGAATTTCAGTGACCAATTCCTGGTTCAGAAACATTTCAAGGTTATAATATATATGTTGTTTAGTAGAAATGCTATTTTAAAATGTAGGACCATTTCAAATATTTCTCTAATAAGAATTTTTGTACCCATTTCCTGTCAAAAACTATCAGTTTCTAGGTACAATATGTTCTGATTAGTGCAAAATGTTATTTTAAAATTTAGGACCATGCCAATGGTTTCTTGAATAAGAATTTTTGTAGCCAATTTCCTGGTTCAAAAACAGTTTCTAGCTACATATATGTTATGCTTAGTAGAAAATGTTATTCTAAAATTTAGGACAATTTCTATTGTTCTTCATTTAGAATTTCTGTGAACAATTCCTGGTTCAAAAACTATCTGTTTTTAGGTACATATATGTTATGTTTAGTAGAAAATGTTATTTTCTGAAAAGAAATATTCTTAGTCCATTTTCATGTAAAGTTATTAGTACAACTTGGTATATCTGAAATGTTACATATAAAAATTATAAAGAACAAAGCAGAAAAAAAGAATAAATTAAAATAACATATTATATTATCATAATGTTATAAATAATTATAAAATCTTATAAAGGGTAGATATAAATATTTCTAAATCATAATATAACTAGAAGTAAAATCTATTTCAATTTGATCATACACATCAGATCGTTAATACAATCATTTTCATGACAATAGAGCCACATATTCAAATAATGTTATCAAATATGTGCTAAAGAATTGAATTGTAAAATTATTCATTAA